AATTTGACTTGTTTAGTAATATATTTTTAAAATCAAATTGTAAAATTTCTATTTTTTTAATTTTGAGTAATGTAATATAGTTGTCAGTCCTCAAAGTTTACATTTTTAAATTTACAGGTACCTTAACAAAGTAAGTTTATTGGAAGTTTTGAACATTATGGTTGTATCTGTTTTATCCTCATCTATAAGTCTCAAAACAGTGACTTACACCCATATTAGATACAAATGAATTTATCGATTTTATTTAATCGATCATACTAAAAGCAACAACAAAACTATTAATGCAGTGAGTATAACTGCTTTACTGTAACTGTAGTAAATGGGCATTCAATCGTTTAATTTAAACCTGATTTGAGCAAAAACGACTTTTTTAAACCGATTTAAGACGTAACTGCGGTAAACTTTAAGTTTGAGGTAGATGTTTATTATATTCGTATGTATACCTATATATATTATTGTATACACTCGTATAAAATCAGTATCAATATATAATACTACATCGATTTATACTTAGTTGAACGTCTAAATATGAACAACCATTGTATAGTTACATGAAATACATCACAAGTCGTTTCAGAAATAATTTTATAATAATATAGTAAAATAAAGGTTATAGTTATAACATTTAATTTAATTAAAACTCTTAAGTCTATTAAATTTTTTTTATTAAATTCGTTTAAGTTATAATTCAATCCAATATGCATATATATATATATATATATATATATTATTAATGATTATAAGTATTTATTTTAAAGACTATTTTTTAATTGAAATAAAGCTTAATTTAGTAATATTAAAATAGACATGAACACGATTCCACAATATATTATTATACTTTAACGATGAATTAATTTATTTCATGCATAATAAAATGAATAATTTTACGGAATTATATAGTAGAATAATAAAAAAAAAAATGTTCAAGTTGAAAGCAGAAGATTCTGCTATTAAAGTTGAAGTTTGATCGGTCATATTTATATATATATACAATGATTAATGAAATATACATTAGGATAAAATTTCAGTAATTTGACAAATGGTTTGAAAATGATCTAGATAAGAAATAAGAAGGAAATAATAATGATTGGAATAATAACGAAAATATCTCTGTTGATTTCAGCGATAAAACGCAGGCATTTAATATTAAATGCGTTGTTTGTGTTTTTTTTTATATATCATGATAATATATTTTTTCAGTAACAATGAAAGATAAAAATACAGACATTGCTCATTCGAGAATTCAAAAATAATTTGATTATATGAATGTTGATATGATTATTTACTTTTTATTAATATATTATTTTCTATAAATTATATATATATAATATATTCATAGGTACCTTATTTATGTGTACTGGTTGTACAGTCGTATACAATTATCGTAATAATAGTTTTATAATCATTTACTAATTTTACTAATATACTAACGTGTAACGATTACAATTATTATATTTAAATTTTAAATTAATACGATTTTATGTATAATACGGATACCTATGGTTGATTAAATATTTCCTCAAAAAAATAACCCAATCGGTTATGATACATAATAAAATTTGTTTCCTTATTTTGACCATGTAAATTTTGTATTGTGTCTAAATATCAAATTAATTTCTTTTGAAAATAAGTAATAACTAGACTAAATCACTTTAATGAGAAATAAATCAAAATGCTATTTAGGTATGTAATCTGAACTGTTAAAGTGAATGGAGAATTGAGATTTATATCGGTCTACACAAATTGACATCACGATGACGGTTAAAGTGGAAACACGTTTTAATTGAACTGGAGCATTCTGGGATTATTGTTTTCTAACAAATCCAATTTTATCCGGATGCCAAATGTAATTGGATAATAGCACTAGGCTAGAGTAAAGTTTTAGATAATGAGAAAGAAAAAAATGGGATTTATAATAAGCACCATTGTTAAGAAAGTGTCGAAATAAAATCACCAGGATGCGCACACACTTTTGGATGATCGAGTAGTTATTGGCCAAGTCAACATTGACAGTGATTTTTTTTTCAAAAAACATTTGGCACAACGTGAAACTGTTTCGAGGTCGTTTGCACATGACTGATCATCACCTCGCTCCGTCCGGCCGGCACAAGTCCCTCATACAGAAATAAACTATCGCACGCTTTATAATAATTAATAATAATATTAATGCACCATAATGTGTTAAATGTAGATAAAAATCAAAATAAATAATAGTAAAAGGCTGTGTATACTTGTTGTTGGTATCAATTCACCGTGTTTTATTAACTTACAATATAGTTTCTCCGAAATTAAAACTTTAGCCATGGTAACTCCAAAACAACGAATGTAATGGGCAACATACTATGAATTAAAGTGTAAAGCGGAAAAGCGCGAAGAATAGAAGAATGCTGCCATATATTTTTTCAGCACAATCAATCGAAATCGTTTGGCGATTCAAATATTAATATCAATCGCATTGTACCTTATTATTTTGTAACAATACAATACGAGTATATACAAATATTTTATGTGAGGATATTTTAACAATACAGCACGTAGCTGTGGAACGTTGATGAGTTAATAAGTATATAAGTTAAATTGATTTTGACTTTTTTTTACATAGGCAGAAAAATACCAATGAGTTTTATTTTTATATTATAAATAGTTAAATTTTAATTAAATCAAATATACATACTAATCAGTAACTTTGTTACTCGAAGTATAACGCTGTGTAGTTAAAGAAAAATCGTTTAAAAATAAAATTAACTATTAACTTTTAAATTAGTTAAATTACAATTTCACATTTAATTAAACCAAATTACAATTATTCATCAACTTGGATAGCTTTCACAAAACCCACGCAATACTGAAACGTATAAGTTTATCATATTCAATGACAAAATATGTTGTATTTTAGTATGTACTAATAATTGCAATGATTATAATAATATCGTATAATATACCAATACATACTTAAACAATAAGTGTTTCTTTTTATTTTTTCAAGTTCAAGACACCTACAACTATATTAACTGTTTTAATTGTTGTTGTTTTTTGAGTAAAATGTTTACCAAAGTAGGATTAGAATCTTTTTTCAAAGTTATTGATACATTAATAGATTTTACAATAATATAACATTACTGAAAGTAGATAGGCATATGTTTTAAGATATTACAAATGTACGTATTATAGATTTCCATTGACAATGTAGTATAAATTCTTTACTACTCTAGTACAAAATCAAATATACTCGTTTTTTTAAATTATTCCAATAATTTATAATAGTAGATGTAATACTATAAATTGCGCGAACTTAAAAAAAAAAATTGTGACTGATGACAGTGACCCCTGAACTCTTATAATACAGCTTTGAAGCTCGTTTTAACAAACAAAAAAAAAACAACTATAAATCAAAATATTATAAAATTAAATATATATAATATATTGCATTCCCCTCCATGAACACAACTATTTTTTACGACTAGCAATTTACGTTTAATCGTGTCGACAAATTTAAAAATAATAAATTTATAATGCCTTACTTGTGCCTCCTATATTATATAATATGTACTTTAAATACCTTTACAGGTAAGAGGATAAATAAATATAATTATGCTCGACGAGAAGAGCTCAAACTTATGATAAAATTATAAAGTCACATACATTCAACAAAAACTCGATGCATAATAGTATGCGCATATTTAATGTCTGCTCTAATTTAAAAATTAAACATCAATGTAACCACCATAGTAAATTTAAACCAAAACTGAGATACTCCGACACTGTATGAAATAGGATCCAATTTAATTATGTTAGCTCAATTAAATAATACATTTTTTATACGAATTTCAAAGCTTCAAAGCATTTTAATTTTTATAAATAATAGGCGGTAACTTATACCCCATTTTGAAATATTTATTAACAAGCAATCGCAATTGAATTATTTTTAAAAAACCATTATATTTTTAAAATTTTCCCCACCTAAATTAAATTATTGTTTGTTTAGTTTATTGTATAATATATTTTTAACAAGACATCTATACAGAGCCAGTATAAGAGATGCATATAGAAAAGTTTAATTTGATATCGTTTCAAATGTTTTCTATGCATTTTTCAAAATCTTTTCTTGCATAGAAAGTGATTATTTAATATTAAATATATTAAGGGATATGAAGTAAACGTTGAGACAGGTACTTAACTACTGTTAAATATTCAGCACAGGGTTTCAAATGTATCGGAAACGAATGTCAACCAATGTTAAATCAAAGCAATGAAAATATAATATATAGATCTAGTAGAGACGTAGAGTTATACACAAAGAATGACGAATAATAAACGCTAGTCAATTTAGGTGGTTTAAATTAAATAATCATATTTTGTCTTACGATGAAAATGTATAATATTTAATTTTACTTTTTGTCTAATTTCTTTACCTACAGCTATTTAATAAAAAATACTTTTAAGTAAGAATATAAATCCAATTTCATCATACAATCTTACCTTTAAAGGATATAGGTAAGAAATAATCATTCTAACGTATTATATTTTTCTGTTTCCCTAAATATTAAAATCAGAAAAACTTATTCTCGATCTTCTCCACGATCAAGATATCACGTAGTTTTAGTAAGTGATAAATGTGATTAGTTTAATAATATTATCACATAACATAATCAAATCATTAAATTTACAATACTATTTTGTTATCTCACTGTCATATAATTATATCATACTCAATAATATCCATACTCTTAATATTACCTTCATTTTTTCAACTCATTACGATATATATATATATATATATTCTTCTCGAGAATAAAAACCAAAAAGTGCCATCGCTCGACCGTTCCATTAAATGGTCGAGAAACGACTTCAAATCTACATCTGCAGTGCGCAGTCGACAAAACATAGATAATAATGAAATATATAACACCGACCAACTAAAACGTATCGGCGGGACGAAACTCAATCTGAACGCAGCGTAATTATAACAACTATTAAATACGTGCGTTGATGTTCAATACCTTTGGCCGGCACGGGCCTGTGACTGTACCCGTTGTGGTTGTCCGCGGCCGTCAGTTCGTCCAGTTCCGGCTGATTCCAAATAAGCATGTGCGTGGCGCCGGACGTCCGGTTGTTGAGACAGCACGCGGACGAAGACGACGACGGCCCGGGACATCCTCCGCCGCCACCCCCACCGCCGGCACCGTCACCGCAGCCGCTAACGCCACTTCCACCGCGGCCACAGCCACCGTACTTGACGGACCCCCGGCCGCCGAACGACGATTCCTCCTCGAAGATGATGTCCTGCGGGTAACGGACGGCCACGTGCACGCCGGACATGAGGCCGACGCCGGCCTCCTCCTCCTCGGACTCTATCCCGCAGCCGCCGCCTCCATCCCATCTGCGGCCGGACATCAGCGCGGACCGCCGCCAGACGATGGCCAGCTCCTTCCGCCGAATCCGTTACAGCGCATTGGTTATCAGCCCGCCATCGCTGTGCAGTACAGCGCTGTCTATATACGTATATATGTGTATGTATATATATATATATATATATATATGCACACACCACACGCACAAGCCACTCAAGTCTGTCAACATGGGTCACCATCGATTATAGACGCGGAAATGCCCAAAGGCCGACGATATTAGATACGTGTGTACAGTGGACGTCAGACAAGATTGCCGCGGCGGCAGCACTCAATCTGTTCGCCGCATCGGTTTGTTTGTCACGAATCTGTATGGTAGGTACCGATCGATATTGTATTCGTTTGTTATAAAAAAAAAAAAAAAGAAAGAAAGTTTTTGCCAGGACATCATTTGCCTTTAAATGTCGAATACTATCGGTTTTAAAACGTTACGTGGCGCCAACAATTTGACGATAAAATAATTTATTGGTATCAAAGTCCGTGCGTGGAGGAGAACCACCCCCGGTTGTTCTTCTTATTCGCGCCTCCACGCCAATCTAGCTGACTCGTACTGTACACACACTACAACGACGGGTCGGTCGTCGTTCAAAATCAATTTAAATCGGTCGCACTTATTTGTCGGTATATTTTTATGGATTTAAAAGTAAAAAAATTCCCTATGCACCACACGTTTGCGAAGCTATTCACTTGGCACATCGACGCGGTCTAAACTTTCCCAAACGTTACAATATAAATCAACAAACTATACGCGAACAGTCAGTTTTTTAAACTTTGAACAAAATATTTATATTTTTTTTCAAAATCATAAAAATGTACCGATAAAACTAGTGTAACCGCCATTTATATTTTATAATAGTACGGCGTGTGTGTATCAATGCGCTCATAACTTTAGCCGAATTCGTGTAAGTTTACTAAGGAAACAACAATTCTAGGTTCGCTTGAAGATTGTCTCGATGAAAACAGTATGTGACGCCTACGATAATTTATTCTACGAGTTCTTTCAAATAATTTTGATTTTTTAAATTTTTATTTCTACACTCGAGTTGTAACACTCATTCGTCCATTATCGGCGAATCTTAAGACGTCGTATATTATGCTCGTCGATGTTGGTTTATGAAAACACCGAACTCAAATAACAGTCGGAAACTGACGGATAGGTATAATATTATATAGTGGCAAATTTCGCAGTGATTCAACAAAACTGTAAAGTAAACTGTAGCAGAAAACGCAGCCATGAAATATTATATGAATGTATTAAATTGTATGTATTATTATTTCGAGTCGTGCACATTTGTAAGACTCTGATTAAACTTCTGTCTTGACACAACTCGTTTGCTACGTATTTATTACCTCGTACACCTCTACGGCGCCCGGCTTTCTAATGCAAAATCCACAGCTGGGGTATGGCGACGTGTTTTCAACCATCACACGCTATAGCAGTCAATCGAAATTATTAGGATATGTGCCTAAAGCACGGTATAGAATTTCCGTAGTTAACTCATTGCATATGTCACATTAATGATGGGCGCATCATACACACACACACACACACACACGCATACGTACACACACACATAAACACATATTATTAATATCATATAATATACAATTACAACCGATACTATAAATAATGGTATCACATTCTATTATATTAAAATATTTAAACATTGTTATTACGGCACAACGCGCGCTGAGAAAAAATACGTTAAATCAATAAATATATAAATATTTACAAAACGTATGTACAAATAACTACATTAGTATTATGCTTATAATATATCATATGTGCCTACAAGATATATACGCTCCAGCATTGGGCAATTCAAATTCGCATTCTAATAAGTTCTTACTAAATTACGCAATATTATGTAATAACTGCTCAGACGGTAATTATACGGCTGAATTGACAATTAGAGAACGCGCAAAACGCCGGAAATATTATGATTATTAAATTATTGTCATCATTATCATGAATTTCACCGAATAACGTTGTACATCATTGCAGATTGTGGTGATTATGGATTATATTATAACGGCGTTTCGTGCATGAGTGAAACGTTACGGTCGCAAATAATCACGCAAGCTTAAAAGTATAGAAACGCGTTAAAAAAAAATTCGATTTTATCGCAAATTAACTTATTTATTGCTTAATATACACACACGATATTTAGTTAAGATTGATAGTATAAAAATATAAATAAATAAATCACACCTAAGTTTCATAAAAATATATTTCTATGATTTTTCTTAAAAATGTAATTCCCGTGAAAAATAATGGAATCGTTTTTACGCGACTAGTTGTAAAAGAGTTTATTGAAGTGTCAAACTAAATTATTCGTGCAAAGGTAATAATATTGTACACGAAAATCGAATACAAGAAAGAATAAATAGACGCCATTTTTTTTTTTCGTAATTTTTAGTTACGCCATTTGATGACATTCTACTCGGTGGAAAAATGTAATATTTTATTCACAATATTTGTTAAGTAGCAATGTATGTACAATATAACCACCATCTCATTTAAATATAATTTTTTTGAAAATATAACAACATCATAATATTAAGTGCATATTTTATTATTATAAAACATGTACATTCGCCTTTCAACAACTACGCGTTCACTCTCTGTGTATTTATATTGTGTCCAACAACGAACTTTTTGTTTGCGTGTTAACGGTTTTAAATTTGTTAAAATTTGATTTTAATATGACACAAAATATTGTTGTTGAGTATTATACATGTTAGACAAACAATGTTCTAATTAGGTCAAATATATAACACGGATTAGTATACAAATTACAAATCCAATTAAATCGAATTACTCGGTATACTAAAACATTTAATATCATATAGGTGGGAAAACTAAAACAAAAACGCCATTGCGAGTATTCAGAAGCTTATAAATACACTAAATGTATACCATATATTATTGATATATGAACCACACAATAAGTAAGTAGTAATAAATATCGTAATACCTACTAGTATGGTTGAAAAATGATATTAAATTATTTTTAGTGTTATTAGAATACTTGGCTATACTTATACTGATATTTGAAATCGTGAGAAAAGACTATGACAAATTACAAGTATAGCCGTATAGGTTCGTTTAATATACCGTTCATATCGATTATTGCGGGAGCAAGAATTATTGGTCGAGTCACTAAAATATTATATTATTAGCATCATATACGAATAACTATTGTCTAGGTGTATAATATGACCACCAATCCGAGAATAAAAATTTCTCGTCGGACACGATTATTTGTGCACAGCACGTCTATAAGTTGATCCTTTGAGGAAAAAAATAACACGTCCAACGAAACAAGCATTAGAGATATATTATTATATCATATACAACAGGGGGCCTGTAGTTAACGAGTTACACGAAGTGCAGTGGCGAAACGCAATTAAATTTCACCAGTCCGACACTTAAGAAAACAAAACAGTTCCTGGCAATTCCAGAAGAAGAGTGGTTTGGGGTAACAACAAAAAAAAAAAAAAAAAAAAAATGGGATGATATATTATATTTGTAGAGCTGAGAGCATTTCGACACAAAAGCGCTATAGGTGTAATTAGCCATTGTCGGAGGGCAAAAACGTTCAAAGCAGTTTCTTTTAAATAGGTAACCATTTCATGCATCATATTATTTATATAATTATGCGGCTGAAACGAACTTTTATCGGACAATATAATATAATATAATATATTAATATTAATATAATTAATGTAAAGTAAGGTCGTGGGTCGTGACGTGTGGCGGTATGGTAGGGAGTGGGGGCAGTGTGTTTCGTTATAATAATGTATTGCACATTACCGCAAACAAAAGCTTTTGAAATCGGTCGGATCATTTGACGGACAGGCGAAAAATTCGCGTGCGCCCGGCAACTATACGATGCGAGCTCGAATACTGAAATTTGATTTCCACCCGAGCTTTTCGGTTTCGTTATCGACCGAAATCTCGTTCACGACTCACCCGACCTGCAGCTCTGCCGCCGCCGCACAAAACGCGAACGGGTTAATGTGATATTGTAACGTAAGCCGTCGCAATAACATAATATTATATACGACGAGACAGTTGCGGGGTGTTGTTTTTTTTTCCTTCTCTCTCGCCGAAGTCGTTGTTTTCTTCGTGCTCGCGTTCCAAATCGCACAATTTGCATAGCAAGAAATACGCGTCCTGCGCCTCGAGCTCACGGTGAAATATAACAAGGTGCGCGCGCGCCACGGTCATTATAATATCATAATATTTAAAACGCAAAAAACTAATTATTGCGATTCCTTAAGGGGAGTTGTAATAATATGTTTTTTTAATAGTGTGTGCATGTGTGTACGTGTTTTATTGTGTTCGGCCGTCCTGTGCATAGATTTAACCTTGAAATCAAAACGCACAGTTCAACGCCTGCACGAACGCGATAATCGTATTAATATTATATAAGTACTTATACTCGAATATCATAATAATAGTCACGACCCGAGATCAATTCGTCGCGAATCGACCGTACAGGAGATGTATAGAGGTGTGTACCTATACTAATTCTGTGACGCATGACATTATGATAATAAAAAATATATATTATTGTTAATATTATTGACGTGGTCCGACATATTTTTACATGACAAACATTACATTATAATAATATTGTGTATAACTACGTAGTACACCATGACCCGACCGAAATTCGTCACGCTATTAGAATATTCAAAATCGGTCGTTTGCCGCTGTATCGACGTGCGTCTTAACCTGAACATCGTAATAATAACAATAACAACAACAATAATAACTACATAATATTATTATATGGGTACCATACAAGCCTACGCGTTTTTATGAATCATTTCTGAGAATATTATAACAAAGATCTAATATATCATAACAGATACGTCAATATGATTGTTCATATTAATAGAGGTGTCCCGTGCATGGCGTTTACAACGACGGATTGAGGGGGGGAGAAGAAAAGTTGGAAACGTATTGAAAACAAATTTTTGCAAACAGCGGTATGTCACGAGAGCGTCGACAAACGAAATATAAGAAAAAAACTAACACAAATTAGAAAGGTGAAATATGAAATCACAACACAAGAAGGTGTGTAGACCTGCAAATCACGGGAACTCTGATGTATTTTTATGATGGATGAGTCGGGAAAGTACCCCCCTCCAACCTTCGTAACAAGACCACTTCCTACACACCGAAGTTGCGCGATGCCAATTGACACTATTCGGTTCACTCTCCCATTCGCCAAATGAATATACACGTGCATCAGATATTTTCGTAATACAGTTGTATTTTTGTCACGAGTTCCACAGACCAGACAATCTATAAGCCTGTTCGATCTTCGCATTAAACTAACCATACGCTATAAATAATAATGCAATCCGTCGTCGGTCTCACCGGGTCACGAAATCGATACGCGGATACGTCAATCGTTGTTCAACTTCACAGATATTATATTTCCCGTGAAATATTTCAAAAAAAAAAAAAAAAAAAAAAAATATGGAAAAAGCAATAAATACACACATACACAACTACCAGCTACACTAAACGCTTTAATTGAAAAAAAAAACAATTAAAATTGAGAAGCAAAAATGTAAAAAGTGATGTGTGTACTTGAATATTTAATTATCTAATTAATACAATAAAATTATGAAATAATTGGAAGCGGTACGCAAAATAATTGTTTAAGAAGAAGAGAGCCTCCGTCTCTACATCCCTTCTCATTCAAGCACTATGTGTATAACATATCATTATGCTCACTAAAACACTCAGTCACTGTGAATAATTTGTTGTGTACGCAAATCGTAGGTATGATATACGCGTGTACCATATTAATATCAAAATAATAGTAATTACGTCGATAGTACTCGTATAAATGATATCATACAAAAAAAGACTAATAAAAAAAATACGTATTATACCATAAGCAACGATATGCTTGAGCATATCACTAAAACACGTATTTGATTGAAATAGTCCCTCGGTTAAATCCTCAGACCCGTTGTTCGACTTAGACAAATACAATACAAAAAAAATATATGTTTATAATAATAATAATACCATGCAGAGTTATGAACACAAATACGCATAATGATATTATCAAACTTCTATACAAAAACATAAATCATATTATTATTTATTATTATGCATTTGACTATCGTTTAGAAATAAAACTTGGTCTATTATATTAATAAGTAATAAAAACAAAGCATTTTCGTAAAACTTTACTTGTTAAGTTAAATCTAGTAGTGCCAAAGTCCACTACAATGTGTCCATTGAAAATGCAACTTCTCCAATGGATTAAAACAAATAATTACTTTGCTTTTGTGTTCTTTACTATCCGGAATATAAGTAAACATAATTCATAGTATTATAAACAGTAAAATTCACAAAATGTGTTTAATACATTTAAATATCTTATATCATTATATAGATTGATTTTTTTCAAAAAAAAAACTATTCTTTTTTTTGTATAATTGAAATTCTAATACTAATTCCATTGTAAAATATCAAAACCATTGCAGAAAAAATAACTAACAATCTGCAGGTTTTTTTCTTTAGAAACTAGAATAAACGTTAACTATTTTAAAAACAACTTTAACAAAATGAATAAAATATTAGGTTAGTTGACAAAATTTTGAGTTAAGGAAACATATCAACCTTTAAATAACAACTTTTGAGCTTTTTCAGGATTTAACAGATGTTATACCTACTTTTAAAAACCTTAGTTGCGTGACGTAAGTAATTTATTTTTTACTTTATGAACTTCTAGCAAATATATATACATGGAACATATCATCAAAAAGAAAAACGTACAGCATTTCACAATAATTATTCATCATATCGGGAAAGATTTATACAAACAATTTTAAATAAATTTATTTACTCTGTATACTATTTTTCATACTGAAAATACTTTGAATATTAAAATGTTATACTTAAAATACTCATTGTATATTTATAGAATAATTATACGCATGTGATAGCAATAACTTTTTTAACAAGCTCGTAAATTTATGAAAGTTTATTAAAATAAATGTAAATTATTATTTATTACAAAAGCAATAAAGATTTGAATTACTGTTTTAGATACAAATGAATCGCGGCCACTATAATACCTACATAGTATTATTACTCGAGAAAAATTTCAGTGACGTGTTAAATGCGTTATGAAATAATTATAACAAATGTTAGTAAATTAATTAGCTTATTGTTTAGACGACAACGGCTAATTTGAAATATTCTCTTGAATAATGGTAGGTAGGTGTTGTATCCATTAAAATTACACCTAAGTAATTTTCTAGAAAACAATATATACAATGTATACGACAAAGGAGTTTTCCTATTGTAAAAGCGCGAGAAAAAAATAAAACCTTAAACCACGTTTGCAAGCGATGACGTTCTATGTGCATATCTGAACAATATCTTAAGCAAAAAAAGACGGAAAGTAAAGAAAAATTGCTTCGATATCAACCATATCTAAATTATAGTGAAAATAAATAAACAAATAAATAAGACGAACGAGTGTTATTTAGCAGGTGAATTGTTTACACTTGGCAAGTGTTCAATTTTCTACGTTAAATCATCGTGTGCCAGTCGGGAGGACGTGTTTAAACTTAATGTGAAATAATATTTATGTACACTATACCGATATTGGAAACGTTTAAATGAGAATGAGTTGTACACGAGCGATTCCAAATGATTAAAATAGTATAATAACTTTTATTACTTTTAAACTGAGTCTCAGATTCGGTTTGTTAAATGTGTTTTTTTTTTTTTTTGACGACAATGTATACCCGGTCGTTAAGACGCCAACAATGATAGTTTAGACGTATTGTTGTGTCGCTCAACGAAAACGCGCGCGTGGCGACAATGTTAGGAGTTTTTTTTTGTTTTTGCGAAACGTGATTTTTGTTTATATTTTGAGATTTGACCGTTAGATCGGTTCACAGTAAAACAAACCAAATCTACGTTTCAAATAGTGGTGAAAAAACTCTTCCGAAGAAACTTCAAAGGGACAACAACGAATAGAATGTAATCACTACGAAACTCGTAAGATATCCAAGTTTCTAATGTATATACATAATATTATTATACAGTACGCAGTATACGTATAAAGTGACACCACCACGCGGCCAAACGTCGCAATACTGTATTACGTATTATAAATGCGCAAATAATGTGTTTAATATTATAATTTAGTACGCTCGTCACAAAAATATAATGCTAACGGCGCGGAATAAGTTTACGTACTCGACGTTATTAAATATTATTATAGCAGAGTACACAATTGTCAATTCGGGTATGTATTCTACACCCGGTCGGGTTTAAAACGTTTACATTTTTTTTTTTTTTTTTTTTGTGAATTCTTTAGGGCCCCCAACCCGTAAACACACATAATATATTATAAGAACCATACGTAAGGTATCTCCTCCAAAAACGTGTTTAAACGGAAACACCGCCGTTGGGGGAGGGAAAGGAAACATAAAACAATAAATAATATCTAATCGGAATAAAAATAAAAAATAAAAGAAAAAACGAGCGCAACGATCGATTTGCGCGGGCTGGGCGTATATTATTATGTATGTTAAACGACGTATAAATATATTATAATATATAAACATATTATACATATAAGCAGCGACGCGATAATGAGTGGAGCGTGCCGGTTGTGCCGTAATAACAATGTATAGTAAAAACACGTAATAACTACAACGTAAATGACCGGGAAAGGGTGTTAAGTGGGAATAGAGAACGATAGAGAGAGATAGAGGAAGAGGAAGAGGAAATAGAGAAAGAAAGCGTGAGTGAGGAAGAGGAGCAGGAGTAGGAAATAAAAACGACTTACACGTGCTTGGTCGGTAAAACGGCCGTTGATCTTATCGAGTGGTGTCGGTGCACAACGGTACACGACGTGCAGGACACGGAGCAATAGTGTGTAATATATTATACTGTCGACGCCACTACCCGCAGGACGGACGCGTTCAACAGGACGACGACAGCGGACCGCAATGCCGTCGAGCCGGACACAGTGTGCACACAACGACCGTGGCGGTCAGCAGCAGCGGCAGACTTCCGGACCGGCACGTGCACATGTCTGCACGACGACGGCTGCGGCACGGGGCGCGCGCGAGATAAAGCGTGGTCGTCGTTTTAGGCCTGCACTCGGATGCTCCTCTGCAAGGGTTTGGGGAGGACGGGGCCGAGATAGCGACCGGCGGCGCGCCCGCCACGCCGAGGCACGCGACGACGTCGGTCGGACACGGAATTCGGAAACGACGACGACGGCGACGAAGCGGACGACGGCGACGACGACGACGACGGCCAGAGGGACACTGCGCGCGCGAACCGTACACGACGACGACGACGACGACACCGCGTCGTTTGGTTGGTCGACGGCGCGCTGGCTTACGTTGCTGCCCGCCTGGTGGCGGTGCCCGATGATGCTGTCCCGCGGGAAGTAGCGTCGGCGGGGAGGAGGTGGGAGATACCGAACACGGGGCGCGCGCGCGCGCCGTTCGAGGCGGCGGCGGCGACGATGGACGAGCGCCGGTCGACGGCAACCACCGCGGTCGTACGACACGACAGCGACGGCGGACGTTCTGTCTGCGAGAGGCTGGCGGGCGGGCGAGGTGGGGGCTCGCGGCGGTACGACGGCTGCGGCAGCGGCGGCGGCGGCGGTGTGGTGTAGCGCACAGGGCCGCGACGGACTGCTCGTTGCAGCAGTGGCTGTCTGGTCGCCGGTGCGCGGCCGCCGTCGACGCTCGGCCGCCGCGCTGCCCCGGCGGCGCTGCGTGCTGCCGTATCGATCGGCGGCCGGCTCGCACACACGCGCGCGCCCACGGCGGGGCCCGCCACCGCCACCGTCGCCGCCACCGCCGCCACCGCCGCCGCCGCCCACGCCGGGGCTGCCGTAATGCATGTACCGGTGTGTGTGGCCTCGCGTGTCTGTCGCCGACAGCGGGGACGCTTGTTCCGCACGCCGCCGCCGCCGACCGACACCTATGCGCGCGTACGCGCACGCACATCCGTTTTCCCGTTATATGTTTTTATTATTTATTTATTGCGCACGGCGGCGCGAAAACGGTCAACGGACGAGTGCGGCGTTGATGTTTTGCGGTTATATTATTGTATAGGTGTATCGGTAAAACGAGAAGGATTGATTTCGCTCGCGTCGACGACGAGCACATGGGCGCTTTATATATTTCTTTTACTTTTTAAGAGGCGTCGGTGTGTGGGTGCACGAAGTCGAGCGCCAGAGCGTGTGTGCTCACCGCCGCCGCCACTGATTGTGCGCGCGTGAGGAGGTGCGCGTCCGGGCCGTTCGTCGCCGCACAAGGCCGCCGCCACCCCGCGGACGGGCGCCTATAGGCGTAATGGGATTTTAATGGAAATTCGCGTACCACCTCCGCGCCGGATCGCAGGAGGACTCCCGCGCTAGGGTATGGCGGACAACGGACGACAAACATGACAAAAAATTTTTAAAAAATATTTTGCGCATCGCCCGCCGACCGCAGTTGACCGTACGCGCGCGTTAAGCCCCGGCCGGTTGAAGAACGGTATCCGTGCGAACTTCACGCCCTTGTCGCGGCGGAGTGGAAAGCATATACGACGCGCGATCGCGACGTAGTAAATTTAATGTCTCATAACACCGTTTAGCCGCTGATTTTCACCGATAAAATTTTTGATTTTTGTACCGCAGTTGTTCTATGGATGAACGTTTATTTTTTGTTCACTTACTGCGTCTTAAGAATTGCAATAACACTTTTTAAGCACAATCGGCCTCGGATATCTTCTATATTTCATACCAAAAATCGATTGATCCGAACGTATTTCGTCAATAACTTGTATTTGGATCTTACAAATTTATTTAAGCACACACGCACACGTCACAATATTTAAAAAAAAAAGAATATACATGTTGTTATATACAACCGGTTCTTAACAACGGTAATACAGATAAGCGTATATGATAATATATTACTGTCTAACCAGTAATCCTACAACAATAGTATAACTTATGAATTATCTAATAACATATATACATGGCAAGTAAAATATATCTTATACCTTGACGCATCGCCTCATCGATTAACTTCCGACGCATTTTATTATATCCTAAGTTATGATAGGAATGTAAACATACAAATGCGAGAATCGCTGTTTATATAAGAAATGTATACTCCCAATGCGCAACAATTAACGCACTTGTGAACGACGAATCGAAAACGATTGAACTAAAATCGCAAAAACCTAACATAGCGGCACCACGAAAAAAGTTACCATTTTCATTTATAACACTAACTAACTAAAAATATCGAGACTTCCCGTATACGAGTAACCTTAAATCGAGTTTCCACAATACTCTAGGTATATTATGTAAAATTTAATAAATTATTCAGTTTGTATCTGTAACGTATAACCAAAATTTTGTTACCTGTAAGTGTTAAATATACCCTCCCTGTTTTAGATAAACAAGATGAACGATAGTCACTACGACGGCGGTATAAAGTTGACCATCTCGACCGTGAAACAACATAGGTCGGCAGTCCCTCCCACAATATAAGCTCAGTGTCTGCAGTCTATATTCCACAATGAATATTAGCGAAGGAGTAATCGCAATATTTTCCACCATTTTTCTTTGCGTTCGGTTATTGATCAAACCGTTTTTTAAATTATTGATTTTGAGTAAGTATTTATAATTATCTATGGAATGTAACGAAGTTCTAGATGAACTAGTTTTATACAATTTATAAATTATAATTATAAAATACTAGTATATCAAATTAAAAAAGTGATATTCTTAATATTTTTCTGGATAATAGATATAAGCTAATGCAGTAGGTACGTACTGCTTGGACAACACACTGCAGTCACATCACACAAGCGTACTAAATAATAATTTATCCGTGTCATCTGCATTATGTACTTCGCAAAAACAAAGAAAAGTTCATATCCATTATACAAATCGAAAAAATATAAGCTTTATTTATTATACGCAAGGCTTTTTATGTACATAACATTCACAATATATATCATTTATATGCATGTAAAACATACATAGAACCCAACTCCTTGATAAAATATCCTAAATATCCTAACAAACACCTAGGTTGTTTTATCACACACCAAATACTCTGGTATCAATAAATAAGTATAGACAGTGTTTTGTTTGAACGTAGAAATACATCATGATATTTATTTAGTATTCGAATATGTGTGCCAAAACTACCATCATCATGATCATATTCGCCAATTCAGAACAGACGATTGCACCAGTATGATTCACCAAACATGTTCTACTTCATTTTTTCCTTTAAAAATGAATTTATTGAAATTCTATTTAAAAAAAAAAAAATTAAGAGTGTGTAAAAATAAAGGTGACATTTTAAATTATTTAAATTATCTACACTATTTACTATTTTATCAAAACTAAAAAATGGGTATAAAAATCAACGTATTTGAAAATATAGTATTTAAATAGATACTCTTAAATTCAAAAATTCCGAAAATCAGGGTTTGAATACATTTAATATCAAAAGAAAAAAAAAGTAGTGATCTTGATTGATGAATCGACCTGCATAATATAATATAATATTATGTATAAACACTTACGTAAAACTTTATCGTAAAACAACCATTTTTGTTGTTCAGCTTATATATATTCAGAAGTATTTGCAAAATCGCAAAGGTATTACTAACCAACATGTTTACCGATTCATTAGATAAAATGACATGTATAAACAAACCGTTTTGCAACATGATCCTACTAAGATTTTAAACAATTACTGGTATTAGACATGTATAGAAACTTAGAGAACTATAATAGTAATTACTAATAATTATGCAGTAGTGCAATAGGCATTCGAGATGAAAAAATGTGACTCAAAAAGAAATTATCTTCAATGAAGAGGGGACCATTCATTTTACACCAGTTATTTTGATTAAACATAAACAGCATATTCGTCAATGATTTAAAATGAAACTATCAAAAGCTCAATCGAATTTTTATTGTATCAATTTATAATAAAGTAATTGTATGAATTGTTCACATTATGGACACGGTAAATTCGTTTGAGTTACATCGGGCACATTTTTATCAAATATGTAGGTATTTAGATTATTCCCATCGTGGTAGTGGTTAAGTAATAAAATAACTTTAAATATTTGACTTTATAGTTAAAAATAGTAATAATTTTAAATTTAATAAATATTTTTACATGCAATTAAAATGCATTGCTAAATAGTATATTTAGTATTTACTGTATTTTCGTGCACTGCTTTTAAAGTTTTATAAAAAATCAAAATTCGTCACCACAATGATGGCCTCTAAAACCACATAATTCTACTCACAAATAATATCTCTGGTGATATCATTCTTAATAATCTCTCCCCCATGCCACCATAACTTAAGCATAATTATAAAGTAGTGATTTCTGTCTATAAATAGCAAATCAATGGATAATTTTTATATTCGTGTTATACCACAATAGCTATAAACGAGCACTTAAATAATCATTGTAAAAACCAATTATTAACAGATTATATTATTTTAAAATAATAATAATAATAAAATTATAATTTATGAGATAACAAAAACTGAAACCTTGAAATTGGTGCACCTAAATAGTCTATTCACAACGCCGTGTAATCCTAATTATATAATTATTGGAATAATATATAAAACAAAATATAATATCATATCAACATAATATTATACTAAATGATAACGAAAATGAACCCAATTTATTGTACGTCGCATGATACAAAGAGGATATTTCATTAATAACGGTAGATGTATACAGTGATGGTGGAAATTGTCTACGGATTGATAGATATATAAGTTAATAAATTGTCACCGCTTTTCAATATAAAGTGCGCAGTTCATTCACGTAGTCTAAAAAATATTAATTTAACTCCTTCTTTAAAGCTAAACAAATCTCTACTAATAATTTAATTATGTGCCTTGATTATTATTAAGAAATGTTATAATTATATCATATTTTTATCGTAAAATATGCCAAAAACAATACGTGGGCGTACGTTTCAATCTCGCGTTGCCTGAATAATATTACCGATATAATATGCCTATTAGTATACTCGCTGAAAACTGAAAAGCTGTCAAACTACGGATGATACATTATACTGTGAATAATATACATTCAATTGTTGCTTTTGTTAAAGTTTACAAATTATTAAAAGTCGAC